CCGAACCGGACCGGTATGGTACCGGACCGATAAACGGGGTTTGAAACGGATCTCAAAATTTTTTGTCCCGAACCGGACCGAACCGGTTCCAAACAATGTCATGACCGGTTCTCATAAAATGAGAACCGGTACCGGACCGAACCGGACCGAAGTATGGTTTATTAAATTTGTACTACTATAGTTTATCTAAAATATATTAATTACCTCATCCGTCCCAAATTGATTTGCAAAGCCAACATTTTTTTGTCAAAGTTAATGTTAAGTTCTTGATAATTAATACAATTTTTAATAATTAAAATTTACATATTTAGAAACCACATTAAAATCTCTCTAAAGTTGCAAAATCCAAATTAAAATATACGAAGTACGGAGTAGTTTTTTTTGAAAGGCTAAATTAGAATATAATTAAAAAGTGAAATTCTAATTAAGTGAATAAAAAGAAATTGTTTGACCAAAAAAAATTGACTTTGCAAATCAATTTGGAACGAAGGTAGTATGATATATGAAAATTGATAAATTTTGTGGATTTTTTGGAGGATGGTTAAACTTTAATTTTTTCTTAAACACCTGGAAAAAATGGCATTGTTTAGTATTGGTATGGCATGGTACCGTCCCGTTTGAAAATGGACCGTACCGAACGGGTTTGGGTCTAAGACCGAACCGTACCGAACCGTTTCAATAGTAACGGTACGGGTACGGGTTCGGCCAAATATTGGACCGGACCGGACCGTGCCCACCCCTAGTTATTTCAAACCCTATCTAATGATATTTCATTAATGTAAGCCCCTTCGATCAAAACCGAAACATATACCGAATTGCCCACCCTACTTTATCGCACCAATAGTTGTGATTGTGCCAATAGTTGTGCTATAGCAATATTGTTATCTATAATAATAATTCACCACGGTTAAATGGTTAATCACTTTTCAAGTGAGAAGGCCGGAACCACGGTTGATCACTTTTCAAGTGAGAAGGCCGGAACCGATGCCAGCAACAAAACATTTCACAGTGGATGATTGAAATTTCTATATTCCAAAAGTGGCAATCTTACTTTAATTTCTACCATATTATATGCATTCTATGTAATTCTTTTTTATAGGGGTGGGCGCGGTCCGGTCCGGTCCAATATTTGGCCGAACCCGTACCCGTACCGTTACTATTCAAACGGTTCGGTTCGGTTCGGTCTTAGACCTAAACCCGTTCGGTACGGTTTCATTTTGAAACGGGACGGTACCATGCCATACCAATACCAAACAATGCCACTTTTTCCAAGTGTTTAAGAGACAATTAAAGTTTAGTCATCCTCCAAAAATCTACACAATTTATCAATTTTCATACTCATTCCATCCCAAATTGACATGCAAAGTCAATATTTTTTGGTCAACCAATGTTAGAGTTAAATTCTCTTCATTGATAATTAATTCAATTTGTAATAATTAAAATAAACATATTCAGAAACTACATTGAAATTTCTTCAAAGTTGCAAGCTCCAAATTAAATATAATTAAAAATTGACATTCTAGTTAAGTGAATAAATTGAATCTGTTTGACAAAAACAAGTTAATTTTGCAAATCAATTTGGGATGAAGGTAGTATTACATAATTAATAAATTTCAGATAAATTATAGTAGTACAAATTTAAATGATTAAACCATACATCGGTCCAATTCCAGGCTTCCTATGAACTAGCAAAGACGGTGAAAATGTAAAGGCACTAGTCAAAATAATGGTATAAATGTAAATTTAAATAATTAAATCATACTTCGGTCCAGTTCGGTCCGGTTTCGGTTCTCATTTTATGAGAACCGGTCATGGCATTGTTTAGAATCGGTACGGTTCGGTTCGGGACAAAAAAATTGAGATCCGTTTCAAACCCCGTTTTTCGGTCTGGTACCATATCAGTTCAGTTCGGTACCATGCCGGTTCGGTATTTTTGTCCACCCCTACTTTTTTATTTATTGGTACACTTGTGGTCTGATATCTGGTGACCGACACGTTTCGATTACCACTTATGGAATAATGACATTGACACAAATAACTATTCCTAAACCTGACATTTCTTTTAGGCAAGTTTTACTGCTCTCACATGCCGCAAAAAGAAGTTTAGATAAGGAACCACAGATTTAGATTTGAGGAGTTAATCTATAGAATATTGTAATAATGTAATGAAGCACATGGTTTCTCTTTCCTAACACAATCTAAAAAAATAATAACAGGTAATAATGTAAATAAAATATAGCTAATTGACGTAGCTATCATAGAGTTGTATGTTTATTATCCCAACTACTATGTGTTAATTATCTCCGTTGTTAAGTAAGTGCAACGCTTTGAATTTTTATCTATTCACATGTTTTATTTTGACTACTTTTATTTATTAATGCATTAGTAATTTTTTTTTTAAAAAAAATATTGTCAATTTGTCTCATTGCACATTTTCAAAATCTGATTTTTTTTAAAAAAAATTAGTGACAGAGAATTATATATATTAATGATCAAAGTTATACATCGACAAATTGCAAAGTTGATCATTGCACTTATTTAAGAATGAAAAAAATGATATATTAAAGACTATACTCCCAACCTCAACCAAGATATTCAAAACTGAGATGTAATGTCCATCAAGAGAAAAAAAAGACTATACAGGTAAACTGACTCATTTTTGTCATAGATTATTATCATCTTATTTTCAGTTGTAGTGTCAGTGTTATTCAATAAATTGGAACATACAACTAAAACTAGCCAGTGTACTCGATATTTAATATTGTATGATTTAACTCATTCAACGACGTGTAGGTAGTCTGATGGAGGGATATGATATGATCATACGTCCTTAGATGTAATGCTTGCCTTACCCCTGACTCATTTTTCATCATACATTAATAACTTTCTGATCTTATTTTCAACCGTAGCATCATTGTTAATTCAAGCGATTGAAACGTACAACTAAAATCAGAGTGCATGATGTATAATATCATATGAGTTAACTCACTCAACCACATTTTAGGGTATACTGATGGAGGGATATAATCGTACATTTTTAAATGTAACGCTCACCTTACCCTGGAGTGTTTTCGTCATATATTATTGACTTACTGGTCTTATTTTCAGTCGCAGCGTCAGCGCTAATTCAATGAATTGAAACGTACAACTAAACTCAGTGTAATCGATATTTAATATTATATGATTTTACTCAGTCAACGACGTTTGGATAATCTAATAGAGGGTCATGATCATACGTCTTCAGATGTAATGTTCGTTCTACCCATGACTCATTTTCATCATACATTAGTAACTTTCTGATGTTATTTTCAACTGTAGCATCATTGTTAATTCAATGTAATGCTCGCCTTACCCTGGAGTGTTTTCGTCATACATTATTAACTTACTGGTCTTATTTTCAGTCGCAGCGTCAGCGCTAATTCAATGAATTGAAACGTACAACTAAAACCATACTACCTAATCTGTAATGTCATACTTTGTATGATTTAACTCATTCAACGACGTTACATGTATACAGATGGAGTAATATAATCTGTTTAGATATAACGACGCTCGGCTTACGCCTACCATACGACGGGGGCGGTGGGGCCGTGGGGGTTAGGGGTTGTTAAAATGTTACTACTAAATGATACACGTGTTTGGATTGCCATTTTCTCCTTGACATGGACTTCAACCATAAGCCATAGGGTGATAGGAATGACAATGTGTCATCCCATGCTATGTTTTTTTGGGCTTAAGTTTATTTACCCAAACATGAATAAGAGAAATTTATATGCGCATGGTTTGTGCTTAAATGGGAAGTCTGAAAGGGATTGCACTCATTTTCTATAATACTGTTCTTCACGTGTCACTCCATAAGACCCTCCTCCCCACAAAGTACCTCCCACATAGTAAGTGCTAAGATATTAAGGACTGCTATTATTTTCTGAATCGACCAGCTGTCAATTCTTGCTCTTAAGAAAATATCTGCCTAGTCTCCATCTGTTTTTGTGATCCACCAATCAGTAATCAGTATCTAATCTTTTCATACAGAACTTAGTTTGTGATTGTTATGATAAAAAGAAAATGAAAAAGTGAATACACATACACCCATCATCAATTCATTTATTTCTCCATTGGTGTAGCTAGTTTCTTTCAAATCAATTCATTTTTTCTTATTAGACAATGCCCTTGTGCTCATTTGTTCTACACATTCTTTCCCCGTTTATTCATTTTTGCGTAGGGGTGGACACAAGACAGTTTTGCCTCGGCCTCTCGTTCTAATTTGGATTGCAATATTCATTTCTGTTTTGAATCGAAGAACTATAAAACGCTTGAAACAGAACGCAATACAATAAGATATGATCAGATCAAATAAAACGGTTTCAGAGTGAAATCGACTATACTTATTCTTTAATACATTGAAGATGAAGTCCGAACACTAGTTTTAGAATTCCAAACAATCTTCCTAACAAACTACGAAGTATAAAATGCTTGAAATAGACGAAATACAACATGATATGATCAAATATTTTTATTTGATCATACCCCATTTGTTTGATTTGATACTATCGTATTTATTATGTTGGTTTGGGGGTCTAAATTGGTCTCATATGACTTATTCTTAACTACTTGGACTAATTTGTTTAAACCATGGTCGAATTTAGTCTACTATGTTTGAGCTTGATACTATACAAATTTTACCACGTACTCCCGTAATACTTCTTTGTACCAGAACTTTATCATTTACTCTTTCAGATTAGTTGATATATACTCGTATTATATAAGTACTTGATGTGATTTAAATTGAGTGCCACAGTAAACAAGTCGGTAATAAGGACCAATTCACCGGAAAAGCATGTTTGCGATCTGTGTTTGATAAGAGAGTGAAGACAAAGAGATAACGTGAGTTCCACCCAGCGAAAAATGCGAAGCTAGCTAATGGACGGATGATGATAGATGACAAATTGCCAAGATAAGGTGATCGTTTTTGTCACCATCTATAGCACTGTGATGCAATAGTGCTCCATTGCTGTTAAATTACGACACCTTTTACACAGATTTCCTGGGGGGTGGGGTGTATATCATCAAGTCTAGTAATAAAACTTTAAACGAAGTAATTGAGGTAAAGTTTAGGCATTTATGATATTAACAAGACGTTTAATTACAATATGCAAATGCCATTCTATAACAACCAACATATCTAAAACTTGAACCAACTGTGCATAGCTTGAAAATTTTAGTAAAAAAAGAACAGCAGAACTGAGCAGAACTGAGCAGAACCATCCCCATCCTCTTATCAGCAACTCCATCTAGTTTCTGGACCAATATGGAGACCATTACTTGTTGTCCATGCTTTGAGCTTCATTTGAGAACCCATGATTCCACCCTTCCACCACCAATCACCCTATCTCATCTGTCAGCAAGTTCTCCAATAAGAGTACTAAACATTACTTTCATCCACTCTTTTCTCTTCTGTTCTTTTTTTCTCTTTCAGCATTCTTTCCATTCAGTTTCCTTTTCCTCTTCTTTTTCTTTTCAAATATCATCATATTGGGCCGGATCATCATCTTCCAGAGGATAGCAAGTGTCATCTCCGCCAGTATTCCATAGAAAATGAGCATAACTTGCAGCATAGAAGGAATTTGCAGGCTCAGCGTCTATGGCTGCTTGGTAGGCCTCTTCTGCTCCCCAAAGTTCATTCTTTGCTTGCCAAAGGAACGTTGCGTATTTGTTTAGTGCCTCTCCATCCTTTGGCTCCACCTCTGTTGCTTTCTTGAAGTATTCCTCCGCTCTGTTACCAAATACAAATCAATATTTCATCTTTTCCGACCAACAACACTTGAGGAATTATTTAAGAAACTATGCCATCATATATCTTCCTACCATCAGGATTCTGTTTACTCTATAATAATACTAAAAGTACTCATGGTAAAAAGTACAACTAGTGTGAAATTGGATCAATATGGACACTAATATCACTAAAAATTTCATCTTGGACACTGCATATTAAAACTTACATTTCTAGCCATTAGATGTAAGGTGTCAAGTATTTATAATTATTTCTAACATAACAGAAAGGAAGGATGGATGTACCTGTCATAGTCTTGAACAACCATGTAAAGAAACTGAGCATAATTGGTAAGCAAAAGGGTATTCTTCGGCTCTTGGGCAAGTTCTGATTGGTAAAACAACTCTGTTCGAAAATAATCTGCATTATCACAAGACTCCATCTTCCCGATTACGGGGGAAACGAAATTCATAATGGTATCACGATCCAAAGACGGATCTTGTGACTCAGATTGCAATCTTGAAGCCTCATCACAAATAGACTTCCACAACAACTCTTCTTCGCTGGAAACCTTATCAGAAGAAAGTGTCTGTTCTTCAGTAGTAGCTGAAGAAGACACTCCATCAGTTGCAATGGCTAGACCATCAAACCTCCTCCCATCACCATCAGTCCCACCAGAAACTGGCCTGAATTTGCCACCTCCCCCACTGTTTCCGCCAATCGATATGCTCTTCCCATTGGAAGAAGAGGATGCTGAAAAGGTTGAAAAATCAAATTTCTGATTTATATGGCTGTGATGACCTTCAACCACAGAGACCTCTTCAGAGGCACATGGAGGGGTACAAGCAAAGGCAGAACTTGTAGCTAAAGAATGGACACTGAAATTGGCAAGAAGTATCATCACATAGACCATTAAAGTTGGAGTCTGTGAGAAGACTTGCTGGAATAGCCACACGAAAGATGCTTGCATATCTTTCTGGACTCTCCCTATTATACCCTCTAAATCTTCATAGAACAACATCTCTCTCATCTTGAAAGTGTGGCGATGGAGTTCCTGGATTATGAACACCATGTTAGAAAAGGCCATTTTCATCGAAGAACACGTCAGGAACTCCCCTGCATCTCTGAACCCGTCTCGCCATTGCATTTTTCTCTCCGTAATCCGCAAAGACAGAGGGATGCCGAAACTATTTGCCCTACAATCTATACCCGCCCGAACCATCCCTACTCTATGGATCCAATCTGGAGGCTCCATACGATCAAAAACTCTCAGATTACCTCGCGCCGTAGAGCTCCGGCAGGTTACTTCAACAGATTCATTAGACCTGGAGATTTCTGTTTCTTCTTCCTCATCTGACTGATGGAAAGTCAAACCCAAATCTTCAGTTCTCTTAGAAAATCCCTCGCCAGAGAAGGAATCTAGATAGGCACTACAAGCCCGTCTCATCGTCGGTTGTACAGGGGGGTTCAGGTTCAGGAGCTCGCAGGATCGGGACCTGGGGAGCTTCGCCGGTTGGGTTCCAAGCGTAGCCGGCCGGTTCAGCTTGTGGACGAACCGGCAAACGACAGATCGCTCACTCCCAGCGAATCTGCGCCGTTTTGAAAACGACGAAACCGAGGAGGCGATGGGATGATGAGGAGGCGAGGGCGGATGAGGAACCGAAGATTGCGACCAATGCAAACACGCCGCAGCTACTTTCACTCCCATCTCCAGATTCCCAGATTCCGATTCACAGAAAAAGCCTCTTCCGCTTTCTTTTCTCCTTCCTTTTTAGCTCAAAAATCAGAACCTGCAAAAGCCGACATATCGTACTCAAATTTCTCTGAAACAGTAAATGTACTTATGTACCACTGTTTTACCGAAACACACAGAAAGGACCAATTCACGGAAATCAAAGCAATGAGCCTAGAAACTTACGCTTCCTTGTTTCTCAAGGTTGTCGCCTGATCCGCCGACGGTAAGTGCGAATTCGCCGTCACCGTCGCCGTCGCTGGAGACTGGTATTACTCGGTAGGGACGAAGAAAGGCGGCGATGCACGAGCACCGTTGCTTCAGTCGTCTAGTCTACCAAGAAGAGTGTCAGATTTAAGTTCCTTATATATAGACGCGTATAAGTGGTGAAATGACATTTTCGCCCTTAGAAGACCTTTTACGATTACGCGTGAATAGAGAAGACAAAGGCGTTGCGGATTCTCATCCCCCGCCCCTTCTTTACTGAGAACTTACGCACCAAACGGTTAAAGGTAGAGAGAGTTGTCAACCCTTCCTAATAAAAACACTTATGTACACAGCTATTTATTTGGTCACTCATGAAATATTTCCTTTAAAATACTATGGAAATAATTTTAGTTCAGCTTGTTTTATTGGAATTCTAAAAGAAGTGGGAGAATTGTAGTATTGGGTGGGTGGAAGATTTAAGATTATTTGATCAGTTTTTAGTTTTTTTTATAGAAGAGATGTGTTGGAATATACTCCGTATTATTAACTCGCTCAAGGGGATAGAATTATAGAAGAGAAATCAATGAGGTAATATTACTAAACATACAAACATTCTTTTGAGTTTTAACAATGTATGTCCAAGTGTAATTGTAACAAAATATAAGAACTACTACTACATTGGTTCATATTTAGTATTTACCAAATACTCCTACCAGTCCATCCTTTACTTTTTTATTGTCTATATAATTTAGTCATTTTCCTTCTTTTTTTAAGTAGTCATTTTCCCTTTTAAGTAACTTAATTGTAAATCGGATTGATTATATTTCTTTTATACGAATGTTGATCATACAAATCTTACTTTATTACTTCGTATTAAACATGCCTACCAATCGTGACTAAGGCGATGGATGGAGTCATGGAGAAGTATATTTTGACATACATGTTGGTCCCCAATCTCCAACCGGTTGATGACAAACATGGGGCCCATGGATGTGAGACACGTTGGATCGATGTGGGTTGAAGCTCGGCCGGATTTGGTCCATCACTTACCCACTAGTCATGATTGATTTGTTTTTAGATTCGTATCTGTTCTTAACTGTGATCGCTGAAAATAATATATCTCGTTATTGATGGAGTATATGGCCCGGGAACCCCCGGCCCACAGACTCCTACTTCTCCTACACGAGTTCATTGGGCCCAAGGAACAACTCAGGCCCGAAATGCGGCGGCCCAAGCCTCAACGTAGCCCAGAAGACGCACTGGGGTGCCTTCGGCCTCCTTGGCCGAAGGCTCCGAACCTCACAAGGTAGCCTTTTCTGGCATAAGAGGCTACTGGGAGAAAACGGCGAAAAACATGAGCCTTCGGCATCATCGAGCCCTCGGCATCAGAGAAGCCCCCGGCTAAACCATGCCTCCGGTCACAAAGAGCCTTCGGCTACACAAGGAGCCCTCGGCTACGCAAGGAGCCTTCGGCTGAACTAGCTCAATCATCGAAGATTCCTTTTAGAGACAGCCAACCACCGCATTTAATGCCACGTCACATCCGCCAACCGCAATCAATGCGGTGGACGTACCACTGCCGGTGCCAACCGGCTGATGTGACCCTTCGGCCGTTGGATTACTGACACGTGTCATCTCATCGCATTTATTGCTGCTATAAATAGCAGCCCATTTCTCCTTGTAAGACATGATCGACATCTCGATTACACACACTGAGTTCATTTAATAAAATCGACTCTCTCTCCTCCTATTTACTCTGACTTCTCTCTAAGTTATTCCCGCAATAACCCCTCGGATAAGATACCCCCCGGGTAGACTATCCATCATTTGGTGCTCTCGTTGAGAGTCTGAACTATCAAGTAAGAAACCCCCCCCCCCCCTCTACCAAACACAAAATACTTACCAAAAATGGGAAGAACCACCCGTGCCCAGTCCAAAACCCTTGAGGAGAACCACATAGCCCCCGGCGAAACCAACGGGGCTGAGGCCTCCAACAGGCTCTTGGTACCCGAGGGTGGTGTCATCCTTGAGTTGGAGCAGGCTACTGCTGACCTCCGTCAGCAACTACAGAGGAACGCCCCTGATGCCTGCATTGGCCTTGATAATCGAAGGAGGGATCGGAGTGAGAACCAAGTTCCCCCTCCGGCCCCGGCCATCGATCTTCAGGCTGCCTTTGCGGCCTTTGTTCAAAACATGGCTCTCAATTCCGGAGCCCTCGCCTCTCAGACACCCCTTCAGCCCTATGCTGGAGGGAATGTTACCAACCTACCACCACTCCCTCCTTTGTTCAACAATCCTCCCCCGGGGATTGGCAATGCCGAGGGGGTCATGGCGCAGGATACCGCCTCCCAAGAGGCCCAGTCCAGGGACAAGCGCCCCATGATGAAGGAGAAGCCCCGAACCTCTGCACTTGAGAGGCTCGGGGGAGCTCCCGGGCACCGAGTGGTCCAAGACCGCCTCGGGAAACAAGCGCTCAGCAGGCCCCAGGAAAGTGGAGCCTCCGCTTTGGGTGCCGAGGGCGTGCCTCCCCCCCGAAGCAAAGGCAAAGCTCTCCTCCATGCCGATGATGCCAGACACCAAATCAATCAGGCGCAATCCTTCCGGGCCAACTCCCAAGGGGTTGCCCCGAAGGATCCCAAGGACGAAATCATCGAAGCCCTCCTCCGTCAAATCGAGGAGAATCGTCAGGCTCCCCCGACGGCTTCCACAGCGAGGCCTGACCCAGAGTACGCTGACCTCCGGGCGCAAGTGGAGGAAATGAAACGTAAGCTTGCCGAAGGCTCAGGCGAGCCCCTCATTCAACTCCGTACTAGAACACCCTTCACCCCAAGGGTGTTGGCGGCCAAAATCCCCCACAAATACCGGGGGCAACCTATCAAGCCGTATGAGGGGAAGACGGATCCCCAAGAACACTATAGCCGTTATCAAAACAGCATGATGATGATGGGGGCGTCGGACGAATACTTATGCCGTTGGTTCCTTTCCACCTTGGAGGGACCAGCGTATGAGTGGTTCAACCGGTTACCCGAAGGCAGCATTGATTCTTGGCAAGAACTTGCCCACCGCTTCCTTACGCAATTTGCAGGGAGGCACCGCTCAAAGAAACACTTCTCCCACCTCCTAAACGTGAGACAACAGAAGGAGGAAACCCTTCGGAGTTTCCTAGAACGCTGGAGGCAGGCCTCCCTCGAGGTTGAGGGCGCCGATGACAGGACCCTGATGGCCCTCTTCCACACCGTCCTCCGCAACGGTAACTTCTCCAGGAGTCTCATCACCGATCCCCCCCGCGACTATACCAAGGCCCTTCAGCGGGGGGACCGATATGCTGAAGCGGAGGAAATCGAGAAGGACCGCCGCAACACGGATCCTTCCCAGAAGAATGAAGGCAGGAATCGGCCCGGGGGGCCTCCCCCTCCGGTAAACCGAGAGGCGCAGTACAACGATCGCTCCCGAGGTGGCCAAGCCAGACCCGGGGGCGGTTACAAGAACAATCCGAAGGCATGGGCGCAGCCCGTCCTCCTTGAGCATCCACGCACTCCCTTGACGCATCCCGTCAGCGTCATTCTCGATCATGCAGAAGAGCGAGGGCTCGTGGAGCGAGACTCCCGGACACCCCTCGAGATCTATGCCATCGGCCCTGATGAGCCCTATTGCCGCTTTCACCGCCACCATGGGCACAAAACCGACGACTGCCATCAGCTGAAGAACGCGATTGAGAGGCTGATACAGGCGGGCCACTTATCTCAGTTTATCAGGGGCCCTCCTCCCCAGGGCCCCCCTCATCATCAAGGGCCTCCGCCGAAGGCAAACAAATGGGTGAACCCCAACACCATCCCCTTGGGGAACCCGCAGGGGAAGAAACGTGAGATCGGTGGCCTCGACGACGAGGGAGAGGGCTCCCATCAACAATACAAGCGCCATATTCATATGATCAACGGCGGCAACACCGGAGGCGATTCAACAAGCCAAAGGAAGAAGTGGGCACAGTCCCTCTACGTTGGGGAGGTCAACCACATGCCCCCTACGAAAAGGCCGAGGGCGGATCCCATCTTCTTCACAGATGCGGACCTCCCCTCGGGCTCCCTGCCGCATAGGGATGCCCTCGTCATCCGCACTGAGATCAATGACGCCATCATCCACCGGACTTACGTTGACACAGGGAGTTCTGTCAACGTCATGTATCTCAGCACTTTTCAAGAGTTGGGACTCGACAGGGGGTCCCTCCGACACATCAACACCCCCCTCTCCGGATTTACGGGGGACAGCATAGACGCCGAGGGCGTCATCACCCTCGTGGTTGAGTTCGGCGACGGATCCCATAGAGCCAAGCTCGAAGTGGAATTTGTCGTCGTCAACCTCGACTGCGCACACAACATCATCCTCGGCCGGCCCGCCCTCGAGGATTTGGAAGCCGTCATCTCTATGAGGCATCTCTGCCTCAAGTTCCCCACGCCCACCGGCATCGGCTACTCGAGGGGGAATCAGAAGCTCTCCAGGGCATGCTACCTTCAACTTACCAAGAAGGTTAGTAAGACTGAACTTCGTGTGGACACAATCACCACCAAAGCCTTGGAGGAAGAGGAAGGCAGGCCGAGGGCTGAGCCTGCCGAGGAGACTGAAGACCTGATACTCGATCCGGCCAAGCCGGAGAGAGTCCTGAAGATCGGAGCCAAGCTCCCCGAAGACCTGAAGGCTGGCATCACCAAAGCTCTCCGCGCCTACTCCATTGTTTTTGCATGGGGGCCGGAGGACATGCCAGGAATTGATCGAAGGGTTATCACCCACCGCCTTGCGGTGGACCCTTCGGCCAAGCCAGTACAACAGCGGAGAAGACCCCTCTCGGCCGAGAGAAGGGAATTTGTGAAAAAGGAGGTGGCCATGCTCCTCTCTATCAAACACATCAAGGAGGTGAAATACCCTTCTTGGTTAGCAAACGTAGTCCTCGCACAGAAGCCTCCTACCTTCCGCATGTGCGTGGACTATACGGATCTGAATAAGGCATGCCCCATGGACCCCTTCCCACTGCCAAACATCGACCAATTGGTGGATGAGACCGCCGGATGCGAAATCATGTCATTCCTCGACGCATTCCGCGGATACCATCAAATATACATGCACGAGGAAG